TGGCGATACCGTAGCTTCGTACAATGTTTTCCAGCTTTGAGACATCCATAGCGGCGAGCAGACACCTTAATTGGAAGGTGGCTAGTCCTGAAGGATTTCTTTGAGGTTGTAAGGGTGGTTGAACAGAGGGGGCCAGAAATGGTATGCCCCTCTTTCCGTAGGACTTGGTGTTCAACAACCAACGACTTATGAATTAAGGTGCTGCTGCACGTGGACAGAGTTCCAAATCAACCAAAGACGGGACAAGCCTTGGGGTCTGACTGATGATGCCTGTCGCCCCCGAACTTGACGCGGATTCGAAGAATGGAGAGGAATGAAGGTGTGGCCACGGTGGAAAGGTGTGAAGAAACGGGGTCGGAAGTTCGTTTCCTAAAAGGGAACGGCTGTCGCAAGCACACACGAAATGCGGTTGTCCAATGACGGAAGACGGCTGAGGTTTGTGGTTTGGTCCACAGATGGCATGGTAACAGAGGCCAGCGGAGGGGAGACAAAAACGTCTAAAGGTCCCGGGGTATTTTGGCTTCCGTTGGGTGTAGCCAAGTCACGACGTCTTGACGCAGCACACACGGCCGTTGCTGGTGCAAGCGGGCGGTAAATTCGGAGAGGTTGTGTTGGTATTGTACACAAGAGTGTTGATAGTGAAGCCGTGTCGTCTCGGCTCGGGCTGCTATTTTCCTTTTTCCCTTCAGGCTTGGACTCGATTAAAGGGGATGATCCGTTTGTCTGTTCGTATACTATGATATGGGAGGCGAGGGCAAATGAAGGACAACTCAAACCGAACAGGTGAGATGAATTGATCAAGGCCAAGAGGAGAACATAAGTGAGAGGTTCATCAAAGTGACGAATGAGTTGAGTGAGTGAGTGTCCAATGCAATGAATGAGGTGAGGTGAGGTGCAAACAGAAACAAAAGGAAGCCCACCGAGAGAGACGGTCGACTAGTCCAAAATCAGATAGGCCCCCACCATAATGTCAAGCTGACCAACCATAAGCCGCAGACGAGCAGCCCCCTGTCTGCACGGGCTCTAGAGCGGTCCGTCGACGCCTGCAGCGGCCCCATCCAATATCATGCTGAGTACGTACCTCGCAGCATCGGTGATACGGCCGATAGACTTACACGACATCCCATTCCCACCACTTCCCTTCAATAACCAACGACCAACAACAAGCTGCCCTGTTCAGCGATCCGTCACTCAATCAAAAGAAGTGCGGGTGAAGGACTGGAGACACGCATCTTGCGGAACAACGGCCACAACCACAGTCCCGGCAGCTTTCCGTCACAGCTCTGTTCAGACATCCCCAAATGGTTCCGGGAGTGTCAAGGAAGACCGGCTTGATCTGTGTCATCTTCAACCTACCCAGTAAGCGACGTCTGTTTTCTGCAAGAAACCATACATCTTTACAGATAATCGTATTGACGTAGGCACACAATCAGCATCTTCAAAGCAGGTCTGACCTATTCTGGATATCGTTTGCAGCACACGCCGCTTTGCCGTCAGTCCGCCCCTCCCCGCCTGGAAGGGTGCAGCTTGCATCTCTCAGGACAGACATCAACAAGGACGGGAGATGGCTTGAGCGTCCCGTTGCATCTTGTCACTTTCGGCATCTGCCACACACACATGCTGTCACTTTTGGCATGAGGGCTATTACCCATCGGATGAGCAGCGAGCCGACCATCGGGCTGCCAGATATGGGCTTCCAGACTTCCGGCACGGTCCGGACGGAGGGGTCATTGGAGGGTCTTCTTCGAAGATATGCAATTAACCCTGCTACGATATCTCGGAAAGCCAATTCAAACAGGCCTGATCGCTTTCCGGTGAAGCCCTGCCGCAAAATGTGATGCATCAACTCAGCATCTCTATCACCAACAGAACGAGATCGATGGACCAACCGCATATCTTGGCCACTCGTACCTCGGACTCTTGGATCCGTTCCACACTAGCAACAAAAACATCTTTGGGATGATTCTGCTTTCTCCCATTTGTTCAGAGTTGCTGGACTTGCCACTAGGACCTGTCGACAAGGACGCTCCCGGGCCTATCGTGCGTTCATCCAGCGTTTGTGAAGCCATCCACAACCATGGAATACCGGGTGGGCCCCGCACACTTCACCTTCCGCCGGACCCCATCCGCCTTCATGTTCACCTTCAACTTCACCTTCTGACTTCTCCTCTTGGACCCCACTCGCTCTTCATTCACTAGAATGGGAATGGGGGCCGACTTCGTATTCTAGTACCCGTTCCGTGGCGAACCCAAAGACTGTCTTTCGTCGAGCTTCCCATACTGTTTTCTTCCCTTCTTCGTGGATATATACCGCTCGTGTACGACACTGGATGACGGGAACTGGAAAGCAAGAGCCTCTTTGTGCTTCCCTGCATCTTTACCAACTGCGGCCTTGTTTTCCACCTCGTTTTACTTGTGGACCTGATTGCATTTGCTACTTGGGACTTCACCCTAGGGTAAAGTCAGAATCAAATCACTCTTGGACATATTGTCACACAACACCCTCCTGTTCACCCTGAGACCCGTCTCGTCTCGTCCTCCCCCCTCTACCACGACATGTTTACAAGAACCTCTGCTCGCTTCGAGCTTCTCTCCCAGATCCTCCAATGTCTCAGACTCAAAGTCATACATTTGACAGACAATGTTCCCAGAGTCCGTTTGCCATTGCGAATGTTCAGGAGAGATACCGAAGAAAACAGCACCGACAGATGGGAACATTGCACCCGCCTCATACGCCAGCGGATGCGTGATATCTTCTGGGTCGGGGTGATTTACCTCGCTAGCGAATTGCTCATATGGAGTCTCTTCCTGGGTCTGTACGAAGTCCGACTTGACTACCTGTCACCCATCATTGGCATGGTGGCGGTGTTCTGTTTCATGTTCGCGATTTCATACCTTTGTCCGGAGTCAGAAAGCTTCTACCACCGCCACATCAAGTACAAGGTTTGTCCTTCACCTTTGTTCACACCTCACCACTGTTCGCAAGTACTAACCTGGCCAGGTCGACTTCATCAATAGCAACTTGGGCATTGGCTTTCCGGTGCCCATCGTCATGATTACTAAGGATAGACTGCTTGGCGGTAAGGGCATTGGAAGGGTAATTGGAAACTTTGGTGAGTTCACCTTGACACCAAAAAGTAATGTTTAACATTTCAAGACTGACAGACAAAGTGAACACCAACGTCTTCTTTTGGGTATTGATCTTCCTGCTTTCTTGGGGCATCCTTGCCGGGATACTCAGAATTCCAGCCTTTTCCCTTCGCGAATCTGAAAAGAGAAGCGACGATGACACCGAAGTCGACCAACCATGGCAGTCTGGCGGGCAAGACACTCCCATACCACGCATCCAGATACCTCCTCCAACCCTCAGCCGCAGGCCCTCCGAGTCAACGACCCTACACGGAACCACGATCAACGGATACCATACCGATAAGGAAGCGGGACTGGGTCCAGATTCGAGGACCGTCTCGGCTTACTTCACCGATAGTGACTGTCCGACCCCTGTCCCACCTCCGAGCCCACTGGGCCACTATCAAGATCGGACATCGCTTTCCAGCTCGCGGCAGCCCCAAGTCTCGAGCGGAGCGGGTACCCAAAGGTTTAGCTGGTTCAAGGAGTGCTACCCCATCGTTCTATCAATCTTGCTCCTACTCACCGTAGGCATCCCTGTCTCGTATGCCCTAGGCGATGACCGCATCCTCGATGGGTGCATGCTGTGGTTCACCTGGATCAGCAGCACAAGACTGCAGCGCAATTTTGGACGCAGCGACATCCTCTCCAGCATACAAGGGCTCAAGATGACTATCACGACACTGCTTAACCCGGTCCTCCTAATGACCCTCGGCATGATAGCCTACACTCGTGCCAAAGCCGCTGCCACGGACACGCCCATTAATCAAACGATGTCCCAATTCTCGCGCGGTAGGACTCTCTCCCTCATCTGGACCTCAAAGGTGTCGGGATCTTACCTCACGAGCGACTGGTTCGGTGCCGGCGACGCGGCCATCTCGATCCTTGAGGTCGGCTTCGTTGTCTGGGGGTTCAAGCTTTACGAGTGTCGGAAGCAAATCTGGTCTCGCGCCGGCGCAGCCGTGGTTGTTCTTTCGACCGTCTTTGCGGCACTCAACGTCTTTGTGTCCGTCCTGCTCGGCAGAGCGGTTGATCTCGGGCCTCGTGAGGCGCTCTCCTTTGCAGCGCGCTGCACAACGCTGGCACTGGCGCGACCTGCGATAGAGGCGGTCTACGGGAACGATGTCGTCACCGCGGCACTGGTGGTGAGCAACGGCATATTGGGACAGCTGATGTACCCGTCCATGCTGAGGAAGCTGGGATTTGACTCAGCTAGAGAGTCGCACATTGACGTGGACGAAGAAGAAGATGAGAGACCGAGAGACGATGCGCTTACCATTGGGGTAGGGACGGCGATTGGCATCAACGGCGCGGCCATGGGCGTCTCATATCTCTATGAGAGGAAGAGCCGGGCTGCGCCTTATGCTGCTCTCTCGATGACCGTGTTTGGGATCTTTACTGTCGTCTTCAGTGCGGTCGAACCGTTTACGACTACCTTGATGAAGCTTGCTGGCATGGGACCGGACAGAGTCCCATATGGTGAGGTATCTTGAGGTCCCTGGAGGTAGTTTGGCGCATGAAATCGGTGACCCGGAGCATGAAAGGCGGCGCTCTGGTTGATGTACGCAGCATAGCATAGCATGATTGTTCCATAGAAAAAGGGGCGGAGGGAGGCAAATTGTACTTGTGAGCTCGTGGGCTCTCCTCAGAAGCGCATTTGGTATTTTTTGATATACAGTTATGCCAGTGGCAAGCGCGTGATAGAAAACAATTTTGCAAAACATTGTCATAAACGTCTGGCTGGCTCAGCTGGGCCAGCCGTGTCATGTCCACCGGCACTGAGCACTGGTTGACCTTTTTTTTTCCCTCCTTCTGTGAACCCCCTGCCTGCTTACACGCGCATGATGCTGTTCGTCTCTACTCTGTCTCATTTACTCCAGTCTGTGATCCGGGTGGTTAGTGGAACTGTAAGTGGAATAGGGGGTTGCCAAAAGCAACAAGACTCGAATCACTCACCTCTCAATCAAGTGCAGGCCGCTCGCCGTCTCCACGACGCCGCTGATGTCACCGGGGTTAAGACCAAAGGCAGCTTCTTCAAACTCCCGTTGCATGTCACCCTTGCCGAAGTAGCCCAAGTCACCCCTCTTACGGGCACTGCTGCAGTCGGACTCGGTCAGGGCCAGCTCGCCGAGCGTGGTGGAACCGGACTTGATCTTGGCCTCGTGGGCCTTGATGATCTCGAGTGCGTCCTCCTTGGTGCGGGAAATTTCGGCCTATTTTGACAGGAGTTGTTAGCTGTCTGTACTCTGAAAACTAAAAACATTTCGGTAGGTGGTTTGCGTACCTCTCTCCAGCTGGAAGGGCGCCGGCTGTCTTTGTGCTTGACCAGCAGGTGGGCAGCGCGGATCTTTCCCTCTGGCACAGGAACAGCCTGGGATCTTGCGCCGGCGCCAGCGCTGTGATGGGTGGCCATGTAGTGCTTCAGCTTCTCGGTGTCGGTTCCCGCAGGCGGCTCCCAGCGTGAGACCTTTTCGGCGGCATTGAAGTAGTAGGGCAGGTTCTTGGAGTTGGAGTGTCGCACTTCCCAGCCGGGGGGGAGACCGGTGTCAGCCTGGTGAGGATTTGTATTAGTCGTCTGCTAAGAATGGTATTGTCTTGGTTGGTAAGCCGCCGCCGCCAGGCTCTGTGGGAGGCGCAGAGAAAGGTCAACAGCAGAGCATGCGACGGCCCGGAGACGAGGCTGCGCGATAATGGGTGAAGCTGTGCACAAAGGAATCGAGCGGGGTCGGGTGTCGAGGGTGCAGAGAGGGAAAATGCTCTGCTCCGGATACGAGATGTATCACTGCTTACTCACCATTGTTGCGCGTGAGTTTGTTTACGGGAGAGACGAGAAGAAGCTGTTGCGATGGCTGCGGGGAACGAAACTTCAGCGGCGGGAGAAGTTGGTGCAAGGAACGAAGCTGTCGTGGAGTAAGGTACTGAAGTGTAAGAAACGTGGAGTTGGCAGAATAAGGAAGAGGAAGAGCAGCACGACGATGGAGGCGAGGAGGGTGGGCGTCGAGGTACAAATGTACTCGGAAAGGCAAGGTATACCGGGTAACGTAAAGGTACCTACGGCAGCCGAACGGAGGAGACAATGCCAAGGTACTCCGTAAGGTAAGGTAAAGTAAGGTAAAGTACCTAGGCAATAGAAGGTAAAGGCAAGGTGCAGCTGGGGAAGAGCTGGGGTTTTGGCGATGCACCTAGCCAACGCAACTGGACGGGGAGGTTCTTCAGCTTGGCTCGAATGGATTGGGTAAGAGAGACGATGACGTGCGGCTGCTGGGGTAACCACCAACGAGGCCTTGCTTCTATGCTGGGTGCGAACCTATGTACATAGGTAATGGGGGGCCACAGCGGGAAGGAGGGGGAGCAAAAAGGCGCAAAAAAGTCAAGGTACGGGCCACAATGGTGGGTTACCTAAGCCACCAGGAATATCTTTCATGCCACTTGAACAATGGATATCCGCTGTCGACGAGCGTTAGTGGGGAGTGGGGGGAGGGCTACGGGGGACCTGGTGACCTCTGACAGGGAACCAGGCCGGATAGGGACCTACTACGTACCTTAGAATTGGACTCGTGGACGCCGGGACGGGAGCCATCAAAAAAGTTGTGTCCCTGAAAGGCGGGGAACAGGGCGCTGGAGGGGGAAGCTGATCATCCCCCCCAGCGCATCGAAACTTGTGCCCTTATTGGTTCCATTCTGTTCCAGTTCCTGTCGAATCACGTGTAGCTATGGTCCCGTGCTCGTCTTGGTCAGCTTACAAAGTTTCACCTACCAGACCTTCTCTCCCGACCTTGGACGGGAAACTCGTCACACGTCTTATTCGACGCAGGGATTTCCCGTCCCAGACCTGTCGATCCATCTTATCAAGCCGCAGTCTATCAGGTTTTCCTCGAGGGAAAGGAGAAATGGAGAATTGAAGAGATGTCATTCGTGAGATTTAAAAGTCTCAGGTTAGGCTAAGCGACAGTTGAGCCTTAATTTTCGACCAGCAACGAGTGCCCTCATCTGGATTTAGAGCTTCTAAACGAGGCCTCCCCCCATTGCCTGAAATATCTTCGGCCTCATCGAAAAGTCCAGTGAGAAAAGTGATTAGCAACATGTCCAAACCTGTTTTAAGTTGCTCCGTGATAGGCCGACGTTGGCTCATCCTCAACGCTGCCTGCTATCAGTAGGTCTCGCGGTACCATGTGTGTACCGTTCTTCTCGTTGAGGCCCTGTAGATCTCGACTTTGCTATACGTGAGAACCTACTCCTAGCTGCAACATGTTGTATAAAGATGAATGAAATTCTACAATTCAAGACGATTTATGGGGTACAGATAGTTCAGACATAGACATGATAACCTCAGATAGGGTAGCAAATGACCGGAACGCAAGCTTCCTTGTGAAAGCTTGCCTTGGGGGAGCTGGTCTTTGGCCCATCTTGATTCGAAGTAGTTCAGTACACTCGTAATCGAGTCCTAGTCTCTCAAACACCAAATACCAAGTAATTAGGTCATAAGAAGTTGGCATAGCCCTATTAGTCACAAGTTGTGGCGGCCTCACTTCACTGATATTACATTACAGTCAGGTTGGCATCTCGGATGAGCAATGGAAGTAACTCACCGAAACACGTCTCGGTGAACCAGTGACCATAGCTCACCGAAATTCCATTCCGCTCTGATTCACCGCAGCGGCCCCACCTTGCGCCTCCCGCACTGCAAAAAGGAACGTGCGCCTTTCTCCATCAGGTTCCTTTCGATTATTTGCGCCGCACTTCGCTTTTCCGCCTTCTGCCTGAACCTCAACATTGCACACCGCTGCCCGACTTTCAATAACGCGCTCAACAACCCGATCTTGGTCTGTAGACTTACGCGACGACGATCCTGCGAAACTACTAAACTCCCTTTGATTAATCAACTCATTCCCCGACGCACAAGAATCGCTACGCGACCGACACCACGATGGCGACCCCCATGAGCACAAACTCCCAAGACGACGGCGCGAACAAGAAGCTTGAGCAGATTACCTTTCGCTTTTGCTCCGAATGCTCCAACATGCTCTACCCAAAGGAGGACGAAGAGACTCACCGCCTCCAATTCACCTGCCGAACCTGCCAGTTTACCGAGGAGGCTCAGTCCACCTGCGTCTTCCGCAACGTCATGAACAACGCCGCCGGTGAGACCGCCGGTGTCACACAGGATGTCGGTTCGGATCCTACTGTAGGTGATCCCCAGTCTGTTCTTGCCCCTGTTGTATGCATCGGCTGCGGCCACGCCATCCTTTGCAGCGGCTGCGGTAATCCGTCCGACGACTTCAACGTCTCAGCGGCCCCTACCCACCAGTACGACGGTCCCCAGAGCAAGAAGACGGAGATCACATGGGACGACCTGATGGACATGGCCGAAGACGAGGCCCTCGACGAGTACGACGAAGAAAAGGAATCGGTCACTTCCGACGAGATCAACCACGGGTTCGCGGGCATCGCACTCAACAATGAGCCTGACTCCGCCATCCGCAAAGTCTCGTGGCCTACCTTTCAGCTGGCTGTCAGCCAGTGAAGGGCGATTCCGCCACGCGTTACCACACAACATATTCCTGGATGATATCCCCTGGACCTGGCTCTTGCAATGGGATTTTGGCTTTCACCTTGGGCACGAGACCTCCCTCATGATCAGCTGGCTGACGCTGCATCTTTCCCGGATCTAGCTTCCACGATCAAACAAGGAATGCCCCGTCTGCAAGGCTGGCGAAGCCGTCTTCTTCCAGTCCCAGCAGCGAAGTGCCGAGACGGGCATGGTTAGTACAACCCGCGTCTTTCTTATTTCTCAGCATCCTTTCAGATGTTCCGAAGGCTAACGCGTTCTCGTGCAGAAATTGTTCTATGTCTGCTGCGATTGCGGTCACATCTTCCAGTAAAAGAGACGACCGTTTGAAGATACCCTAGGATTGTTCGAGAGGAGGTTATCATGCATTGTAAGGAGTATTCTGGCGTTCGAGCTCTCGATTGGGGGAAAAAGGCTATCGGGCGGCCACGGTTTTTGTCTTGAGATATCATACAGACCATTGAATTACATTTACCTCAATGGCAATCACTATTCTGCGCCATTGCGACCTATCTCAAAGTGACCTTTGACTTGTGACTAGACTCATCTCGACTTTCTGAATGTTTTTGTATTTGATGGAGATTGGTATCGACTGCCAACCCTGGAAACGCCGGCTCATGCATTCGTATAATACACTTCCCCCAATCTGACGACTCTTTTCTCCTATACTTTTACAAAGATCCTACACGTCTTTCTTGTTGTACCTGCTCCTCCCTCGTCCCATCGCCGTTTCCTTTATGCGTGCATGGGCGCCATGGAAAGGATCTTGCTCCACTTCTTCCTCCTCAGCTCAGCACCAACGACGCCGTTGATGCGAGAGCCAACGGGGTCGCCGGCCTTGTTGATGAGAACGCAGGCGTTGTCGTCGAATCGAATTACACTACCGTCGGGGCGGAGAGTCTTTTGCTTGGTGCGGACAACGACGGCATGGCGCATGTCACCGCGCTTGACCTTGTTGGCGGCTGATGAGCCGGCCATGCCACCCTCGCTGGCACCTCTGTGCTTCTGAACCACGACGACGATTCTGTCACCTGCGATTGTATATGTGTTAGTCTCGGTATCGAATCGCGTGAGGTGAGGGGGTTTCGGAAGTGGGCGACAGGATCGTACCGATGCGGGCGAGCTTCTTCTGGCCGACAACCATGGCGCATTCGACCATGGCAGCACCTGAGTTGTCGATGCATTGCAGCACCGTCTGAGTGCGCGTCAGCGTGCTGATTCAATGTTCGCGAATCAAAGAAGATGACATACCTTTAATTGAATCATTTTGGCGGCGGGACCTCGTGGTAGGCTGTGGTATATCGAATCTCCCCTGGCTGGCCACTGGCTCTATGAAGCTATCTCGAAAAGGTGGGACTGCAAAGTTGAATTCCACGTCGGAACAACGGGCTGATGTAGATCCGGTAGCCCAGAATCGTGGACCAGTGAAGTGGACCTCAAGACCCACTTCAAGAGCTGCATGTTGTCCCGTTGCTGCGGGCAGGCCTCTGACAGCCAAAAGAGGTTAGCTACATATACATGAGCGCATCTCATTGGCTGATGTAGCCGATCAAAACTTGGTCTGTGCGACTATTTTGACGTCTCAGTGCTCACTTGGGGCCACTTCAACGATAATTGCCTAGCCACTGAGTTTTGTAACTTTTGATTGGCCGTCAAGCCCCCCGGTAAGGCGCAATCCAATGTTTCCCTTCCTTTCTTGCTTCCCTCCCTCTTTCCCGTTCTGCGTCTCTGTCTGGCTGGTCTGTCTGCTCCCCTGGAAAGCTGGAAAGGAAGGAAGGAACCTGGAATCTGGAATTTGTTCCATTGGGACTTGCTGTCAATACCTCCCGAAAGTACGGAGTGCTCTGAGTCGGATCCGAACGAATTGAGACTGAGTTTGTGCAGGAGAGTAAGAGAGGGAAGGAACCACCCGAAGCAACCAACTTTCCACCCGGCAAGAGCGAATTAAAATTGGGACAAGACGGCGACTTCCATTGCTGTTTCCTGCTCATCTTGAGTTCAGGTCTCTTGACGTCCAGCCTCACACACACACACACACACACACACACCTCACCTCACTACATCCCACATCCCACCTCCCACCTCAACCTAACCACATCCACTTATTTGTCTCATTTCCCTCCTCATTCTCATCTCTTTATCCGCTCCATCGTCCGTTGTCCGACGTCTTTGTTACCCACAGAGCCTCCCTTCCGGTACTTGTGGATGAAGCTATTTTGATTCCTACA